CATTATCCCAGCTGAGTAAGTTTCCTCTCTTCAGCCTGCCTGAGATGAAGTGGTTGGATACGTTAAAGAAAAGCTACATAATTATAGAAGTGTGTAGCTTTTCAACACACTTTTCAGTAACAGATCTCCAAGTGTTTTAAGAAAAAAAAAAGGTCAAATATTGTTTGCCGTACTTTGTCCAGCTGTGAAATGAGGATAATACCCAAAGACAGAGGGGGGGAGGATCAGAACCCAAGTTCCTGAGCTCTTTCCAGTACAGAAACAGCTAGGTTTTTCCCATTACATCCAAACAAAAGAAATACATCCGGACAAAAGAAATTAGAGATAGCAGTAAGACAGAGTGCTTAAATCATGTTCTGATCGTCTCCATATTTTAGTTCTGCCAACTGCAAAAAGTCAGGCATTTATTATGTAAATTCAGAGACTTGTTCAAATATAGCTAGATATGTAGCATAATTTTCCAGTTCTTAAAATTCCTCTAAATTAGGGAAAGCCTTCACACTTGAATTCTGGCTGAGTTAGCTGCTACAAAAAATAGAAGACAAAAACGACTTTCGCATATGAATGCAACCGAGGAACAGATCCTGTCAATATTTTATCTATAATACGCATAACAAACTAACAAGCTTCCAGTAAATTAAATTTAAAACAGTTTGGTACATGGCTGAGAAGAAATATTCTAGGGTCAGAAAGTTCTTGGGAGTAGGGGCTGCATTCACAGGTAAAATGCAAGATATCACAACAGTCTTGATGCTGCAGATGTCAGTTGCTTCAGAAGAACATGACATCCACTGGCAGCAGGCTGTGGTCCAAGGCTAGAAACAGTCCTGAGAAAGCTCTGTATCACACTTGCCAAAAAATAAAAGAAAGTGCGTGTTGTGAGAGTCATATGCAATGACTAAGACCCAGCTTATTACTGAAGTCTAAGGAGCTACACCTACGAGAAGCTCACAAAAGCTGTACAATGTAGAGCACACAGCACCCAGGATACCATGTCCGAATGCTCCTAAAAAGCTCATCCGAGCTGTGGGATCATCTGGCGTTATCAGGTGGGGGGTTCTTTTTGTTACAACTACTACCAACTTTAGAATTTATTTTTTCACTGCCTTAAGTACATCACCATCCTATATAACAGCATCAAGGGCCTTTTGCAGAACAAAAGCTTCCTCAGGGCTCTTCAGTATCATCTTCTTACTGCTGCTTTACAGCTGGCCAAATTGAAGGAGCAGCTCCAGATACCCTGGCCACTTATAGACTAGCTTCGTGCAACATGTTGTAATCAGAGGCTGAAAAAAAACCTTTGTTCCCCAATTATTTGTTATTTCCCATCCTTCAAAAATGCTCCTAAATAGCACACTTCTAACCGTAGGATGAGTCAGGGAACACAAATTCCTGATTCCTTTTCATGGCTCTGCCACAGACTCATACTGAGGCTTTTGGAAATACATGTCATCTTTCTGTGCTCCAACCTACTGTATATAAAATTATACAGCCTACTGTATATAAAATTTACAAATGTAAAGCACAGTGAGTTCCCTGACAGAAAAATGACAGACCAATTATTCATTTAGTTATTATTCATGTACTTTGCTATTTATTTTTAGACAAATTGCTCATTTCTCTGTCACCAAAAAATAAAGTTTTTATACCTGTGAACACTAGAAAGCTAAAAATGTCACAATACAGGAATGAAACAGATTCATTTGTTGCAGACAATCTCAGAATTGTCTGTTATTTGACTGCAAGACCTTTGTAACTGTGACAAGATGTACATGTAGCAGTAAATAAGAGGAGGCGACGAGTGACAAAAAGAACAAAGGAAATATTAGTGTAGAACTTTCCTGTTACCGAGGGAGAGTAAAGAGAAAAAAGCTCTAATAAATCTAATTGTAACTCTGAGATGCAGATTAATTTACCTGTTAAGACTCTGAAATGGTAACATGAGTTTTCCCAGGAGCAACGGACAGAAACATCTTTTGGATTTCAAATTAAGCACATTTGTAATCAACTGTGAAAGAAACAGGAAAAGTGTGGCAGTAGCATTTTCAGAGTTTAATGACTTACGCTGTCAGTCGTCTGTCTTCTATAACACACCCAGCAGAGGGCTCCAGGACCCCATTCTTGCTCCTTGTCCTGAAAAGCTGCAATCCTCCGAAGTTCCTGCAAAATTAGAATTGGAGAGTTAGAATCGCCTTTGGTTGGAACAGAAAATCTGGGCGCTTTCCAAGCGGTGTACAGAAGTTGTTTAAATTTCTGTACAGCTCTGAGATTCTCATTGCTGTTTAAAAACAAAAAAAGGAGGGGAGGGACGACTTTCTTCTCAAAATACCCTTATGCTAAATTGCAAAAATGGGTCTCTGTAGAGGTCTGAAGATAAACCACAATTAAAATGCAGTTTGGTTTAGTAAGAATAAAAGCAGTGGACAAAAATTAAAGCTATGCAGTGATATTCTAGGCTTAACAACAGGGAAAAGAAAATATTTTGAACAGTCTCAAGGACACATATGAACTTGTGATAGGATTAACCAAAAAAATATGGGAACTAGAGCAAGAATATCAAGAAATACATCCCAGTAATGAGCTCCTTTCTTTGGATTAAGGCCCATCACTGCAGCCTTTCAAAGCTAGAGTAGACAAAAACTGCAGGACACCCATTGTAGGGAACATGCCTGCAATAAGCAGGTGGCAAAACCAGGTGGAAAGGATACTTTTTTGTTCTCTAATTTCACTTAAAATATAAAAGAGAAGCATGTGTAACAGTTAAAATTAACTCGCATACAAATATCATCCACCCACCTATTAGAATGCCACAGAACAAACTTATTTCAAGTACGTTATACAACAACAAGGAGTTAATAATGAGCTGGAGAAGGAACAATTTTCCTCTGGCTTGATTCAACACACTTGCATTATTCATCCCGTTTGTGAAAGAATATGAATCCCATCAAATAATTAGATGGTGTGTTAACCTCCCAGGTTTGCAATAGCCTGTGACTGACGAGTAGAAGAATTGTTCTCTCCAAGAACAATTTCCTGCGCCGTCGCTCCCTTCCGCCCCGACCATGGGTGAAGGGTGTGTTTTGTGTGTTTGTATAGGGAATCCCTGTGGAGTTTTGTTGAGCTTTAGGTCAAAACCCTCTGAGTTTAACTTTAAATTGCGGAGCTATTCGATGCCATATCAGCATATCTATTACCAGTACTACAGTAGTGGTGGATCTTCCATTAGTGTAAATAATAATAAATAAAAAAGGAACCGTTCTCTTACAGCATTTTGGATTAGAGAAGGTGGGAAGGTGAAACATCAAATTTCAATAAAATATGCTGAAAGAGAGAAGTCTAAGTAGTTATATGGGAATTTTAGTGGCATTTTAACTTAGATTTTCTCAGACCTCTTATTTGAAGCCCAGTGTGGTTTCCTCCTCCCTTCATTACCCCAGGATAGACTGCCTTGGTCATCAGCCAGATTGATGGTCAACTTCAAAGTATTTGTTGTAGAAAAAACAAACAAACAAACGGAGGTCCTGTCTGTTGATGTTCTGAAACGCATGATTTACAAATAATAGGATTTGTAACGATTTACAGATTGTCTGAACATTTCTCATGGCCCTCGAGGTTTCCAAGCAAGTGAAGGAAACCACAAAGCAGACTGAGGCAAAACAAATAAATCCTTACATTCTGCTGACAAATAGAGTGCCATGAACCTCCTGTGGAAAAAGCTGATAGAACCTCATACGCTCTCATAACATAGATTAGTTTAGGAAGTTCTGTTCTAGTTCAGTCAAGAATTGATGAGGGAAGTTAGGTCAGACAAGGTAAGGGCCATTGTTTCTCTCAGCTTTAAAGACTGTTAATTTCTAGGGGCTTTACATGTGCTGCATTATTTTCTTCAAAAATTCCCCTTCCACTTCACTGTGATGTAATCCCATTTCCACCATCTCTCCATCCCAGAAGCAGCTGCGTTTTTGGCATGTCCTTTTTATAGTGAGGATCACACAAGTTGAAACGCATCCTAGAAATGGGAGGATTGTTGGGGGATTTTCCAACTATTTCCCAAACTACAGTAAAACCACAGATCAGAGGACAGATAATGCAGCATAGTTGATTAGTTTCAGTTAATGTATGGATAAATGTAGCAAAAAACCAGCCCAAAAGCAGAAGAATTCAAAGACAGGGGATACTCCTGCAATGAAGTATATGCATACAATGTCAAGGGAGGAAGGGAAATAAACAATGTAAACAGACTCTGATCCTAATGACACTGGAGTGAGTGTGGAGTGACGTTCCCTACCCAGCTGGCATTACTCTGGAGCTTTCCTGGTACCGCCAAAGGCAAAATCAGGCTCATTGGTTTGGTATTTAGCAACACATTACTGAGGAGCGTGAGTCGGAAAGTAACAATGCCTTGCCAATCTCTATGAAGGAGAAGCACCTGGCATGACACAACCACCTCAGGAAGCACTCGCTGTTGTTGTCAAGACCAAGTAAATCAGGGGGCAGCTCACCTGGCTGGGGAAGGGGGCTGCTGCAGCCAGCCAGGAGGGCAAAAGCCCCCGTCCTGACCCCCAGTGTGGCCTCCTCCAGCTTCTCTCCGAGCCCAAGGCCACCCTGAGGCGCAGCTATCCTCTGCGTTGCCGGAATAAAGGAATAACCAGCAGCTTGCCAAGTGTGGGATGGGGTGGGGAGGCTTTTTTAAAAAGCACAAGAGGAAATGGCGGCGGGAGACTCCACGTGCGGCTCCCAACTTGAAGCGGCTTGGGGAACACTCCTCAAATGGCGCTTCCACCCCACAAAAGCTTCAGCTAAGGAGCGGCGCTCCGAGGAACAGAGCGACAGTGCCCAAACACTTGAAAACGTGCCGTTTTCCGTCCGGGAGAGCACCTCCCGCGCTTGGCAGGGAGGGGAACGTCCCTCGGCCGTTATCAGGGTGGCCCCAAAGAGCGCGGCCGCCTCCCCGGGTCTCACAAAGGCGTTTTTCCGCCGCCTGGGCGGCCGCCACTCCCGTGCTCGCTTTCCTTTCCTCTCTGCCGTTCCCACCCGGCGCTGCCCGCCTTTCCCGCTCGCCTCGGGACCCCGGCCCGGACACCGGCAGGGGCACACCGACGCCTGCGTCCTCCGCGGCTCCGGGGGGGGGGGGCTGGAGGCCGGGCGCGGCGCCGAGGAGAAGCCGCCGGGCGCCTCCTGCCCACAACCAAGATGGCGGCGGGGGGAAGCCGCTCTGCCCTCGCGCGCCCGCCTCCGTGACTGAGCCTCAGCCGCGCCGGGAGGGAGCGAGGCCGCGGCGGCGCGCGGGCCATCAGGTGACCCCCGCCGGGGGAGCGGAGGGACGGTTCCCCCCTCCCCGGGGCGGCGGGGCCGGGACCCGGGGAGCGGCGGTGGCGGCGGCCTCTTGTGAGGAGCCAGCCTGCATCCCCCCCCTCACCCCACGCTGTGGCCGCCGCGGCTCGGGGAGCGCGGGAGCCGGAGGAACCCGGGCGTTTGGCTCAGTCCCGGTGCCCGGCAGGTGCGGGGAGGGGGACGGGGTGTCTGCCGTGTCGGGGAAGGGGGGAACAGAGGGGGCATGGCGTTGAGGGGGGTTAGGGGGGGCTCGGTCTGCTGGTAGAGTTTGCTTCGGGCACCCCGTTGCTGTATTCTGTCATCACCCCCTGAGGTAATTGTTGCCCGTTAGCGAGGGGGAACGGGGACGGCGGGAATAAATAACAGCCTGGAGTCGCTCAGCCCATCCTTGGGCATCACCTCCAGGGAGGTGACTCTGCTCTGCTCTGGGGAGACCCCGCCAGGAGCCCTGTGTCCAGCTCTGGGGCCTCCAACATAAGGAGGACATGGAGTGGGTCTGGAGGAGGCCGTGAAGATGCTGGGAGGGCTGGAGCCCCTCTGCGGTGAGGACAGGCTGAGAGAGTTGGGGGTGTTCAGCCTGGAGAAGAGAAGGCTCCGGGGAGACCTTAGAGCCCCTTCCAGTCCCTAAAGGGGCTCCAGGAGAGATGGGGAGGGACTTTTTACAAGGGCATGTAGTGATAGGACGAGTGGTAGTGGCTTCAGACTGGAAGAGGGTAGATTTTAGAAAGATTTTTCACTGTGAGGGTGGTGAGACACTGGAAGAGGTTGCCCAGAGAAGCTGTGGCTGCCCCATCCCTGGAGGGGTTCAAGGCCAGGCTGGATGGGGCTTGGAGCAACCTGGTCTGGTGGGAGGTGTCCCTGCCCAGGGCAGGGGGTTGGGACTGGATGATCTTTAAGGTCCCTTCCAACCCAAACCATTCTATGATTCTAATGTTACAGCTCAGGATCAATACCAGCTGCTCACCCAACGTGGGGCTTGGTGAAGAGCTGGCCATGGACATGCCACAAGGACAGCAAAACAGCAGCAGGGAAACCCAATCCTCACTTTCTGGTCTGTCTCCCCTTCCAACCCAAACCATCCTATAATTCTAACGTTACAGCTCAGGATCAATACCAGCAGCTCACCCGATGTGGGTCTTGGCGAAGAGCTGGCCATGGACATGCCACAAGGACACCAAAACAGCAGCAGGGAAACCCAATCCTCACTTTCTGGTCTGTCTCATCAAAGCTACCAGAAACAAGCTCTACCTTACAGTGGCAGTGAGGCCACCAGTGCCTCTGGAATACACCTGTGATGTTCAGAGATCAGTCCCAGGCACTGCTCCAGAAACTGTAAACGTTGAAAAACATCCCAACATGGCAGTGAGTTGGAGGCTGACAAGTACACTCTTCTCTCATCCCAGTTAGCCTTCCCCATGGTACATTTTATTCCAAAGGATAAAGATGCACCCTTTGCATTGGGGGAAACAGTCACAGGTGACATCAAGCATAGGGACACTGATATACAGGGAACGTTTCTCTTGTGCTCCAGCTAATTCAGTTTTCCTTTCCCATGAAGGACTCACTCGTTCATGGCTTGGGCTGAGCAACCATAGGATGGACCCTCGACTCCTCTGCAGGTGCTGAAGTGACTGGTGAACACTGGCCGTGGGCTAAGGTCCATGCACAGACAATACCCCTGCTCAGGTAAGGGCCGCGTGCCAGCAGAGCACCACCCAAGTGCAGCCCTTCAGTGTAGATCTGGGAGGGAGGGAAGAGTCTGGCCATTACTGTCTTCTATTACTCTAATTTAATGGGACTAAGTTATTGCCCAGACCCTTTTTTTTAATGTTTGAGTGTTAAGCAGTTAATTGTGTTAACGTGCACAATGACCTCAGCTCGCTTTCCCATAGCAACCACACCGTGAAAGTCCTTTCAGGGACTTCTTTAGCAAGGAAAACAAAAAATGAGAGCACTGAAATGACGTCTGTAAGGCGTTACTCAGCCTGGAAAGCTTTCTGTTAAGCCAGCAAAGTTTCAGGAGGTAAAGTAGTTCAGTGGAATACAGTCACAGCTCGCTCTCTGTCCCGCAGGTTGTGGCTTTTGAGAGGTTTCCTCCGAGGCTGTATGTCACAGGTTATGCTGAGAGCTCCTCATCCTCAAGCACACGCACACACAAAGCTGTGTGAGATGTGCTCTGTGCTTTCTCATACCAAATTTTCAGAGGGAGCACAGTGAACCATCCCTGTCCCATTACTTAAGAATAATTACCGAAACTTGAGCTGAAGGAACATTCTCAGGGTGGTTTAGTCAGTCCCTCTGCCAGATCAGTTTTACCTAAACTTTCTCAAACCTGTTCTGAGAAACGTCTAAGGCATTACAACACCCATCTCCTTCCACTTGCAGAAACCTCAGCTCATTGGTACGCAAATTTATGATCTCATAAAAGTTGATGTACATCCAAATGGCAGTTCCTCTCAGCTCAGAAGCATTTTCCTAAATTGCTCTCCTCAAGTCTGTCTTGTTAATATAAAGTCCGAGGCACAATCAATCATTCCCATCTCATCACATTGACCGTTTGAGAATGATTACTGAAATTTTGAGTTGAAAGAGCCTTTGGAAATGATCTAGCTGTATGCAAACATTTCAGATTTTCACCCTTTTTTCTTTTTTTTTTTTTTATGGAAAGCGGATTCATATGAATTGTACAAAAAGAAGCCAACTTTTTTGGAATATAGTACAAGTAGATATTTCAGACACCACAAGGATAATGGTACTTTTAGAGGGGTGTTGTTTCTGCAGCTGTTTTATTTAAAAAAAAAAAAAAAAAAAAAACCTAATACAGTGCTCCACCGCTCACTCTTTAATAATAAACCCCAGTGTTTAAAAACTGTCTGAAAAGTGACAGGGATTTTCAAGGGTTGAAGGTCTCTTGTTCTGACAGTGCAAAACTGCGAGGCTGTAGCTGAGGGCAGAGCAATAGGAATACCATTCCTTGACCATATGTTTTAAAAAATAGATTTTGTGCAACATGTTAAGCAGAGCCCACATTATAATGACAAGAAATACAGAAGGACTTTCATCGATATGTTTGAATCAGCTGACAACTACTGAAGTGATCTTAAAATCCACACTGCAATTATGGTTGGAAGTTCAAAGTGATGGCAACACCTTTTCAGTAAAATTGAGCTCTCAGGAGAGTGATTTCTCCTGCCTTTGGGTTTTAGATCATTCTGTGCGTTATAAATCACTTCTCCACAAAACTGGGCACGTAGGATAAGACTTTGTAGTAAATCTGCCCCTTAAGTATTGCAGGTGACCACTGGAAAAATGTTGTGTTTGAAGGCAGAGTACATCAGGTGGTTTGGTGTCCTGAGTTATTCTAAACTTGGCTGTGTGGGGAAGAATGTGCAGGGACATAGGTTTGTTCCTTGAAGAATCTATTTTAAGATGTTTGTACAAAGGTTTTTTATCAGCTCCCCTTATTTCAAGAAAATACCCCCTGAATTGGAAAGGCTGGAGGACCTTCAGGACTTGTCTTCCACAAGCCTCATTCAGCCAAGACCATTGTAGGCTACAAATCCCCCAGGTCTTTTGTAAGGACAGCCTCTTTAGTGGGAAACAAAATCTCTCCTCTGTGGCAATAAATGATCAAGTGCAAGTGCATTTGTCTCTCTTGCTGCCCCTCGTTTTATAGGAGCAAAGATGAGTTCTTCAGGTGAAATGGTGATGCCTGACCGTTTAAGAAACACTTGATCACCCAGCTGCTTTCCATCCTTCAGCGTGACTACACTGTTGTCATTTAAAGGGTTTCCTTTCTTCAAAGGCAGGCTGAAGGTGGCAGCTTGTCTACTCTGTATATAAACCTTAAATCTGAGTGAGCTGGTGGATGGACTTGTCTGAGATGCCAGAGATTTATACCATTTAACCATTTATACCCAGTGGGTAAAGCTTGTTGCCTTCTTTCCTCTCACAGGCCCAAGGAAATAGCTTTTCTTCAGATAGAGCATGGTAACTCCACGGAAAAATACCTAAATATTTTCAAACACTTCACACCAGCATTTCTTGTAGTTTTCAGAGGTTGGGGAATGGACTCAAGCCCAGTTAGTGGCTGGCTGTAGCTATGATACTCCTGTTGCTGAATTATCTTCTATGTTTCTCTTGTCCTGGTGTGACACTTGCCTGCAAGTGCCTTTGATTAAGGAGATGAGTGACTTTGCCTGTACTATTGATCAGAATAAATTACCAGCAGCTAATTTATGGACCTCACAAAAGTGCCTTTGACATGGTGAATTGTGCTCTGTTGTTCAGGTAATTGGGTTGTCAGGAAATGTTATTGGTTACTATACAGTTATCTCTTATAGAATATTGGCCTCTTTCATAGAAATGGACAAAATCTTTTAGACATCCAGTTCCCAGGATGTCATGAAGACTGAGGAGAAAGGAAATAAGCATTCTTCTTGATCATAGTGACCATAGTAAGAACATCTTGACTGCTCTGTGTTGATTTTCCATCCTTGATTTCTGTAAAAAAGAAAATTACTTCTCTTGTACCTGCAAGTTCAGGGAGCTTGGTGGTTGCCAGCATTTGCAGATTCAGCTTAAAATGGGGGGAAAATGTGCTGCTTAGGACAGTATTCTTGCCAACAGTGAGATTCAGAATCTTGTCATTGGCTTTTTGATGTCTGAGAAGAATAGAACAAAGCTCACCTTTTTTTTGCTGTGTGTGTTACAAAGATGACAAAGATAAACCTGGTTCTGTCACACCACTGGAGAATACAAAAAAATGCACAGAAACAACAAATGGGCAGCGGGAAGGTGTTTTTACACATGGTTGTTGTTACATCCACCTTCCACATGTGCAGGCCATGACATCTGCAAAAGTGAGAAAAGCACAAGCAAAGGATCCTGGTGAGGTGGAAAAATAAAAGCAGCTCCGGAGCTCTCTTTGGGTGTTTATGTGAAAAGCTCCTACCTGAAAAAGTCTGGGTTGGTGTTTTTGTGTAATGCTGTGAAATGCAGCTCGCTCTGGAAGCCTCATCTGGGGAGATGCCAAGCCTTTTTGATTCCCATGGGAACATGGAAATTGTGTCTCAGGAACCCACACAACTGCTCCACAAGTGTCCAACAGACCTGGTCAGGTCCTGGCGTGGCTGGAATGAAGGAGCTGTAGTGGTGGGAGCATGGTGACCTTTGGAAGCTCTCTGGCCGATGACCACATCAATTTCTCTATATGCAGGGCTGGTTTCCTTCCTTGGGAGAACTCTGTGCTTGCACCAGGAGTTTCTCCACGACCCCAGGGAGAAGGAATGGTTAAGGAATGACTTCTCTCCACCCAGTTCACTCCAGGCCCAGTACTGATAGCTGAAGGAGGGCTGTGGGCAGCCCCGCTCTGCTATTGCTTCTGTAGGAGCTCTGTGATTCTTAGAACTCCCCTGAGTTTTGGGTTATCAAGCAGCCCTTGTTGCAGCTGCATCAACTGCAGAATGGCTCATTTACCCAGCACAACAACGGGCTCCTGTTTGGGCAGGATTCCACTGGCCGTCCATGCCTGACCTGCAGACCTTTGATATTTTGGCTGGCAGACTGGTTGTCTGTGCCCTGCTTGGTATTTCCCTGTAAAATATGCTTTAGGTTGTCCTTTCTTTAGGAGGCATTACCCTTCCTCCCACTCGTTCCTGAGTCCAAGCCTCAACTGTGATTGCTCTTAGCTGGAAGGTCCACCCCTTTCTGCACTGAGCCTGCAAACCCACTGCTTCCTCACTGGACAGCACAGTGTTCCAGCTCAGGAGGTGTCTCTGAGGTCCTACAGCTGGACACATCTGCATTTCCAGCTTTGCTTCCTGGAGGAGACATTTTAAATGTACAGTACAGCTGCACGCTGTCAGCATCAACAGGAGCAGGAGAGGCCCAAGATACTGGGCTGCTTTGGGCTGGTATTTCCAGTGGATCCTCATACTGCTGCTTTTTGTGGATAACTTTGCCCACTTTTACCCAGGGATGACAAGACATTTTGGAGGAGTTTGTGAATTGTTCTGATGGGAAGAGCACACTTGCCTTTACCCTGCCTACCTTTTAATCTTCTTGATATTTTTATCTACTTCTCGCCTTTGAAATTACTGGGAGTTTTCTTTTTCTTCCCTTTTTTTTTTTTTTTTTTAGAGAGAAAGGTTTAGAAAGACATGGAGCTTGAAAGAATCATTCGAGACACACTGACACGCTTCATCCAGTCCCACATCCCTGCAGCAGACCTCAGGTATGTTGAGATAGGAAGATCCAATAGCTTGAACTCTGCATTAATTATTCCTCTGCACATCATATCGAACTCTGTAGCTTTCCTGTACTTTGTGTTGCTTTTTCTTAAGTCAGATCCAGGATGCAGGTAATTTGCACAGGCTCTGATGAGGCAGCTTGAACAACTGTCGTTTAGCATTGTAATCTAGCAATGTCATTTCTTTGATGACCAGGATGATTAATTTCCTGTCCAGTAATACACATTAGAATATGGGATTCCCTTTGTTCCACAGTGCTCCCAAAGGGCTTTCTGAGCAGCATATTGCTTTGTCAGGGCTCTCCCTATTTTGAACTCTGCCTGCATGCAGATACAGCCACCTTGAGGCTGGAGCACGGCAGCTGGTGGCAGCATTGACCTGTGTGGAGAGCTGCAAGCAGAGAACTCTGCATCCCATAGAAATTGCAACTTGACAGAATATGCTGACCACCCCTGAAAACACCAGTCGGCATAGAAAAGTCAGAGTTTGGACACTTGGAATATGTTGGATAGCTCAGCTGAAGCACCTACAGGAGCACAGCCTCTGGGCACATTTTATCTGTAAATGCTTCCCACTTGACTACTGACTTGACTACTTGACTACTGGATTTACTGGTGGCATCTGCCCATAAGATACATTCCACATAGGTCCTTCTGCTGCTACATTAGACACAAGGTTAGAGGGAATGGAGAGAAAGAGAGAGAAAAAACAGGCCTGTTGACCCTGCTGCCATGTCCTGTGTTCTCTCTGTCTTCAGTGGGATGGATGATGTTTTCTTCTCTTATATCACGGGTGTCCTGGAAGAGCTGGGCTCACCAGAATCTTCCGAGGAGACTTTTGACATGGACACCTTTGTGGAAATGATGGAGGCATATATCCCTGGTTTTGCAGAAATCCACAGGTATGTGAATGTTGCAGCTTTATATATGCAGCATATATATATGCATGCCATATTCTGGCAGCCTGGACCCATGTCTTAGTACCAAACCTGCACCATTATGATAAAGTCTTTGCCTGAATACACAGCTGGTGATCCCAGTATAGTTTGCAAGTAGGTCCTTGGCCATTTGAAATACCAGTTTATGTTATTGGGCATCAAGCCTTGTCTTTCTATGAAAAGGTAACCAAGTAGGATAGGCTACTGCTTTTATTCCTCACACTAATGATACAGCTTCTGTCTCTTGCAGTGAGGATGTTTGTGAAATGATGTTCTCCCTCTCAGAAAGGCTCGGTGAAGCTCGCAACAAAGGTGAGTTACACACAATTTCAGCACAAGAAGGTATATTCTTTGAGTGTTTTCAGTCCACAATTTCAGCACAAGAAGGTATATTCTTTACGTATTTTCAGTCTTAGTTTGGAGTCTTTCAACTCCAAACACTCAACTCGGTGAAGCTCGCAACAAAGGTGAGTTACACACAATTTCAGCACAAGAAGGTATATTCTTTGAGTGTTTTCAGTCTTAGTGTTTGGAGTTGAGCAAAGTCACAGGATAGAATAGAGTCTTGTTTGCCACAGTTAGGATCTCGTAAGGTAGGTTTCTGATACCAACACAGGGGAGGTTTGAGTCATATGGAATATTGTTTGCCACAGTTAGGATCTCGTAAGGTAGCCTGAATTGACTGATGTTTGTTTTTTTTTCTAGTATTCAGTCAGGTTTCTGATATCAACATAGGGGAGGTTTGAGTCATATGGAATACTGTCCAAAACAGTTGATCAGATCTCCAGACACCTCTGCTGAGATCAGATCCATAGTAATAAAGGAAGAAATAGCAGATACGGGGCTGCTTGTTGGAATTCTACTGTAGCTTAATTCTGAAAGTGGGGATTTCTGCCTGCCTCTGCCTCAGCGACACTACCACTGGGCACCCCGTGTGTATCATCAAATAGAGTTGAGCTGATTATCTGTGTCACTTCTAGACTTTAAGCATTCTCCAAGCTCACTTCCCATGTCACCCACGAACCCTGGCATGGATGCAAGATCAGCAATGACGTGCTCTGGCCTGTGCTATGCAGGACTGCAGAAGACTGTACTATCCCAGTGGCCCTCTCTAACCTCAGCACTCACACATCAGCTGGTTTGCTCTGTTAATCAGCCCCAAAGGTGTGTCTGGATATTAAACCTTTCAGGACACACCAGTCTAGATTTTGCTTCTCTAGTAACACCACTGCTGTCTTGCCAGAAGGCCACATGGAGTAGAACAGTCTTGTCTTTTACTTGCTGCTTTCTTGAACTTAACAAAATCTGCTCTAGTCCCCTGCATCCTGCCCTTTCAGGATCCTGATATAGCCAAGAGTGTGGAAAGACAGCACTGTTCCCATTTTAGAGAGGAGGGAACAGAGGTGAAATGATTCTTCTTAAATTGACAGAGAAAAAGCCTGTAAAGAGTAACCTGATGATAGGATCTGCTGGCTCACATATGGACTACCAGAGTGCATTCCCAAATTTAAAAATCAAACCCATACCTTAGTTCAAAGTTAGAGCAAACACTAGGGAATTCTTAGAAATGTAACACAAATACTGTAAGTATCTACAGCCAAAGCACTTGAGAGCCAAGAATTGACAGGTAGAATTGAATTTGCAAGCAGCCCATGTCTGGTAAAGACTGGAAATGCAGCACTTGGGCAGTGCAGTGTGCTTTTGTGCTGCCTTCCTGCAGGTCAGTGTGAGCAGAGCTGCAGCTCTGCCCACCAAGGGCAGGAGGAACAGTAGTGCTTCCCAGTCTTGTCACTTAAGAAGGGATTTTGCTTTGGCACATGATGCACTAGCAATCCAATGCCAACAGAAAGCACAGAGCTCTAGCCTCAGTGGGACTGTTCCTCAGGAGATATCACTATGTCTTTAAGAAAAACCTGGCCAAAAGGCTGTGGAAAGCAGGAGTGAAGCACCCTCTGAAGATCTGACCAAGGGCCAGGAGCCTGGAGCTGGAGCATGCAACGGGGAAAGGCTGTTTACTCCAGCAGACGGAGCTGGGGCCCAGGTATGAGCACCACACAGAGGAGCAGGAGCACTGGGGACAGTCACCCAGCACCACCCCAGGGTATTTCCTGGCTCTGGAAGGAACCCCAGCATAGGGTGTGACACAGCATCACTGGTGTCTGTGATCTCCTCCATTGTATGGCCTGAGAGAGACTGTGTCAGTAAGTGGAAAAAGAAAATTACATGCTGACAGAAGAGTATGAACCATCGCTCTGTCTCATCCTTTCCAGTGGCTGGAAAGGATGAGACAGAGCGATGGTTGAGGGAGCCTGTCCCGATGCCCTCAGAGATCCCACAGCAGCACCACGGGGATGCCCCTGCAGCACTAGCCAGCTTCCACCCTGCTTCACCATGTTCCTCCCCAGCCTTACTCCATGATTTGAGCTGGATCACCATTTTCTCTCCCCAGCTATCATGCTGTATCTGCACAGCAAGCAGTCGCGTCTGGGTGTTGGTCCCGAAGACGCCAGTCCCTCCCTCGGTGACCTTCTGTGCTGTGCACTCCTTGGGCTATGTACAGCCCTGAGTCATTGGCCCAACGGTCCTGGTCCTGCAGCACCTGACAGATGTCCCCCACCTCCTTCCCTCCCCCTCTGCTCGCTCTTTCTCCAGCACTGATCTCTTCCTGCTCCGCGGCACAATTATCCTGTGTCCAAATGCTGCTGCTGCGCCGCCTTCTGATGCTGCCACAGGTCACTGTGTTGAACAGTCCCTTCCCTTTCTGATCAAAGCACACAGAACTTCACAAGGGGAGCGGGAGTTCAAGCATTTGTGCTGCAGCAGCCAAAAAACTCACTCCTAAGGAGACACGTAGCGTGGCCACACAGATGAGCCAGCTCACAGCAGCCCTACTTTAAAGAAGGTTGAAATACAGGGGGAGGAGATTAGGAAGAGCAACGCTTTGGCCTTGCAAAGATACAATCCCCTGTTAGCTTCAGGAATGGGATTTAGTCACGCTTGTAAGGAGAGAGAACCTTCAGCCAAGGGCAAGCTGAATTTCCTGACAACACAAAACCAGAGACGCCCTTTTAAATAGCCCTCTCCTGAGAGTATCTGCAACTTACCTCTGTCTCTTGCTCCAACTAGGAAGGCAATGACTTGAAAGATGGGGTGGAGCTGCTCCTGGAGATGTTCCCGGCTTGTACCGTGAGCCAGGCAGAGAAGGCACTCGCCATGGCCTTGGGGAACTTGGAGGAGGCCGTGCAGTTAATTGTGGAGGAGAAGGTGGAAATTGGCCCAGCAGGTGCGAGTGTGAAGGTACTGTACTCTGAGCTGGGTGGCAGCAGGCCAAGGAGCAGGGCAGAGCTCAGGGACACACACGGGTGTCCCAGCTGTCCCCTTTGACTAGGCCAAGGAGCAGGGCAGAGCTCAGGGACAGACACACGGGTGTCCCAACTGTCCCCTTTGACCGCAGGAATGTCCCACAGTGGAGCTGTAGCTCATACACACCCCTTTCCCAGGGGGGCTGGGGTGCTGCACCTGAGCTATTGGGGGGGAGCTGTACACCCCACGTGTTGTGCTACTCACATCCCCACCTTGTCTCCTCCCAGGAACTGGCCCGGCCCCGCAGAGCGCCCAACCACGAGGAACTAAAGCAGGTTATCCTAGAGAAGTAAGTACCCAGCAGCAAAGAACCCTTTATTCTCCTCCCAGCAAAGGAGGAGGGGGCAGTTTGGGGAAGGTCAAGAATGACAATGTGGTCTGAAAAGAACTTGGGGTGTACAACACTTAGAAGGGATGTCATGAAGCTGATTTGGGTATCACTGAACACGTCTAAGCACAAATACAATCACCAGGTGGGAAAAAAAACACAAGTTTGGGTTTCTTCTAGAGCTCTGGCACGGAAACAGGTTACCTGCCCCAGCTGGGTGACAGCACTGGCTGTGTGTGAGGTTTCAGCCTCCTGCAGATACAGTGCAAGTCCCAGTTAAAGGTTCAAGGCACAGACGTCGTGCTGCAGCTCAGGTGACATGGAGAACTACAGCAGTTCATTCATACCTCCATCCTTGGAGACAGTCCAAACAAGGCTAAAGATATCTTTAAGAGACTGCTTGTACAGCAGCGGTGGGAAGATTAAATCTCAGTTGCTGAAGGTGTGAATTCAATGCATTTAAAGAAACCTCTCTGAAGTCCCCCTATGGACTTCTTGAGAATGAAAATGGCTTTAGATTGGTTTACCTCATATTCATTTCCAAAAGCATTTAATTCTCAATAGAACACACAGTGTGGTTTCATCGATCCACTTTAAGATCTCAGCTTTCAGGAGCATCCTCCTGCGGGCGTGCAGCTTCCCCGTGTCTATCCATCCACATCTTTCCCACCACTTTACATCCTCCCCAGTGACACAATAAACAGCCGGTGGGTTTGGGAAGATAGTGCAGCTTCCCCGTGTCTATCCATCCACATCTTTCCCACCACTTTACATCCTCCCCAGTGACAGAACAAACAGCCAGTGGGCTTGAGAAGATAAGGCAGAACAGCATCCAGGCAGAATTAGCAATCCCTGTCCTTGCCCATCTCCTGTGCAGGCTTGTTTCAGAATAACATGCAAGAGAACAAAACAAAACAAAACAAAACAAAAACAGCACCAGCTGCCAGCTACGTTTCTGGGAATTTTACTTTAATGACATTTTGGCAACATCCTGTACTTTAAACATCACTCAAGCACAGGTACGGAGAGCAGATCACCAGAGCTGAAGATACACAGGAACGACTATATTAGCTACTGAGGGAGAAGTCATGGTCAGCTGTGCTGTCCCCCTGCTAAATCAGCACCAAAGTCTCAAGAGTAGTTAACTCAGCAGTAGAGCAAGCAAGTGCTTGGGCCCTGACGTTTCAGTCACACAGGGAATGAGGTGATGCTTTTAGGAAGTTGCTTCCAGCACATACCTGTTTCGTAGTCAAGTAGTAGGCAGAGCATGAAAAGAACACCATCTCCTCAGGGTAGAAGCAGCCAGCTTGGTCCTCTCATCTCACCTCTTGTCTCCTTTGGCTGCCATCGCTCGGGCTGAGAAGGAGCAGAGCTGTCCCCGTGGCAGAGCACACCAGACCTCGGCACCTCTCTCGGTTCTGCAGGGGCTTTCCACAGTCTCCACAGCCCAAGATCTCAATACCCTTCACATACAGCCAGGGGTGCTCCTCCAGGAGAATCCTGCTGGATCTCACCACAAGGATGACGCTCTTCTTGCCCGTTTGATCCGTAGGGGAATGTTAAGTGCTCCTAGCTGCAATCTAGGCAAGTAGGACGTGTTGCAGGACCACAAGCCAACCAGGGGAGAAGACATAGGCTGTGAATAGCCCCGGGCTACGGTGTTGACTAAATGCTTCTTGTGTTCCAGATACATGATGGTGGATAGCGCAGACGATCAGAAGACACATCGGCCGGCTCCACCCAAAGAGGTAAGAAGAGCAGTCCCAGCTCCCCGGCACTTTGAATGTCCTTTGGCCACAAGGTTTAAAAATCAGGCTACAAGTCCAAAAAGCAAAGGGACAGGCCAAAGGCAAGGACCATTCGCAGACCCCCACCAGTCAGTCAGCAAAGAGGGAAGAGCAGCTTAAGGTGCTGCAGGGTCTCTCAGTTCGTACCATTCCTCATTAGCATGGCTCCTGCTCCTTCACCAGCAGAAGACACATCGGCCGGCTCCACCCAAAGAGGTAAGAAGAGCAGTCCCAGCTCCCCGGCACTTTGAATGTCCTTTGGTGACAAGGTTTAAAAATCAGGCTACAAGTCCAAAAAGCAAAGGGACAGGCCCAAGGCAAGGACCATTCGCAGACCCCCACCAGTCAGCAAAGAGGGAAGAGTAGCTTAAGGTGCTGCAGGGTCTGTCTGTACCATTCCTCATTAGCACAGCTCCTGCTCCTTCACCATCAGACAGCTTCCTTCCCAGTTTTGGCCAAGATTCCAGCCCACCTCAGTCTTCCTGCACCCACACCCTCCAGAGCACAGCTCTGCTGCTTCCTGTCCCCTCTCTTTCCCAAGCAGCGTGGCTGTCCATCCACTTGGTGTTAATGTCTTTTCCAGGCTCCCAAGAAGTTGATCCGCTACATCGACAACCAGGTGGTGAGTACGAAGGGAGAGAGGTACAAAGATATCAAAAAGCCCGAGAGCGAGGAGATGAAGAGAACCTACATCAGCCTCAAACCAGCCAGGAAGTACAAGTTCCACTGACAACCAGGTCCTCCTGCTCTTCAACCTCCACCTCACCGGCCAGGCATGGCAGGATGGACACGTGGCACTAGAGCTGAGGAGGACTTCTCCACCTGCCACTAACTGGGACTAACCTGGGAGCCAGCACACCCGCTTTCAGCTTCCTCAACTAACCCTGGGTGACAAGGAGGAACCTTTTCTCCTTGTGTAGCTGTCCCTCTGCCCCCAGGGGCACACCACAGGGGCTCTTTGGGGCCTGGGCATTCTCTGCTATTCCTTGCATGGGACATTTTTAGATCTAAGATGTGGCTTGTGCTTTTGCAGCAAGCTTTTTACAAGTCTGTGTGCACTGTTGCTTTAAATTGAGTGCCAGTGTCAATAAAGATGACATGAGTTTGTGTGTAGTTCAGGCAGAGCGTGCGCATGCTTTAAGGACGTCGCCTGCAATCCCTCCTGGGGACAAAGATAGGAGCTGGGTCATCCTGGCTTCCCCTAATTACTCTCTTCATCACGTTCACCACAAGATGTGGCTTCTCTTTGGTTAACCACCTAGTGGATACAAGGGCTGAGGCTGAACTCCAGACCAAAACCAGGCTCTCCTTGCCAACACGACCTGCAGGGCTCCACAAACTCCAGCTGACAGCACGGCCAGGGCTGCTGCCACTTGTCACCACTGCTGACTGCCAAAGCTCCAGCCCCACGACACGGAGCAGGACATGGTAGCAGGCCTGGGTGCTACCAAAATGTTAAGTCAGAAGCTGGAAGAAACAAATGGCAATGACCAACTGCTTTTGGTGACAGCACAGCCAATTTTGGCATTTTCTGCCGGTGAAACTGCAGGTAGGAGTGTGTTTTGGGGGGGGAACAACTCCCACCTTGCACCAACCTAAACCAGCACCCTAGGCCTGGACACACTGCCTACACCAGGGACATGCCAGCCCTTTGGTTGCCAAAGCTGGCCAGTGGCCACAGGCTGGAGATGGCCTCTCTCTGCCCTCCTCCCAGAGCCCAGAGGGGCCTGCCCTCTCCCAGGAGGAGGGCTGGAGGCTTTTCTCCTTCCTGCTGGCCTGGTTTGTTCCACAGCTCTGCTGGCCCATCCTGCACACCCACCCCAGGGGACAGTCCTCACGAAAACACCCTCCTTCCTGCTCTCTGGACAAGCTGCCGCTTAAGAGATTTAAAATACAACAAATAATAAATCCTAGCTATTAGCTGGCCTGGCCAAGGCCTGTTGTTCAGCACCGTGGGGTTCCTGCGAGTCGCTCTCTCCACACCACCGCAGAGGGAGTTAACTTTCCCTGGAGGCACCAAAGAAGTCCTCTCACGAACACTAAACAGCCCCAGAGGGAAGAGTGAGCCCCACTGGGACCATCCTGGCCAAGAGGACCATCCTCTCCCTCCGCAGCAGCCGATTC